ATTGATTTGTTTTGCTTTAAAAAAATATTCTATTAAATTTTAAATAAAAACTAAAGTTAGAACGTTGAAACAAGACATGAATATATAGGCACCCCAAGGGATGGATGTTGACCTCAGTGGTATTATGCTTTCTATTGATCATCTTCCCTGATCTAAAGAAATTATCACATGGCGTCGACAAGAAATTTGTGTTACAATGTGTCCTTCCTCTTATGGCAGCTATTCAATTGTCAGTGGTATTATGCTTTCTATTTTACACACTGATCAGTTGTGAAGAAAAATTCTCAGAAGCAATTCAGGGAACGTTAGCACTTTATTGGATCTTATTCTTAGTCTGTCTATTAATGGCATAATGTACAATAAGCATATTAGTAATTTTATTTTCTTCTGAACCAGTTTGCAAATTTGATTATACAATATTTGTTATACACTGAATGCATATTGTTCCGTGCACTTTGCACCGGCGGGCTTCGCGTCATCAAAGAACTCAAGATTCAAGGCTGGACCCAGAACTGTTAGCATGGTTGTGGCATTTGGAAAGAAGGTGGTTATCAGTGACTGTGGTGGGCTTCCAATTGCTTGATATGTTAGTTTTAAGTCTCACATCGATTGGTGGTAAAAATAAATTAGTATTTATAACTAAATAACACTAGAGACCAATGTGTAGAAAATATGTAAACTGAATGGGCTATTCTTAAAACATAATTAAGTTTAGGCTCAAATGTATTATTATGGTTGATTTAAAATAATAATTCATAAAAAATATTAATAAAAATAATTTAATAAAACTTAAAAAAATTAATATAATATAAAAAATATAAAAAATCAAAAATAAAAAAAATATAATAGTAAAAAATTTATAATTAAAAAAATGTCAGGTGAAATTAAAAATTATAGAGAGACGTCGTTATGTTTGATCCTATTTTAATTCACTAAGAGATATCGTTATATTTAATCCTATTTTAATTCACTAAAGTTCTTGTCTTTGATGTTCGGTAGTGTAATGATATTTGATTTTTTATTACTATTATTTTCTATCTTTGAGTTCCATCTAGTGAGTGTAGTTCATTTTCTACCTATGATTTGAAAGAGAGGAAGTCTTCGTAGTGGTGTTTTCTTGGCTACTTCTCCATTATAGGTTTTCTTATAAGGAAAACATGTTTAAGGCATGATCATTGTTAATTCGGAAAGTATTTTTTATGGGGATCAAATTGAGTCAATCTCTCACCTCTTTGTCACCAATCTTTAGGTGGCTAGGGATGTAGTTGGCTATTTATAAGAATCTTAAGATTTCGTTTGAGATTTTCTCTTCTTTTTGCCATAAGGCTTAGTTCAAGGGTCGGTGTATAATGATCTGGCATTAAGTGTGGTTTATTTAGCCTGTTCGAAATAATAAATTTTGTTTCTTCTGGAAAGTCAATAAATGTGAAAGAGGTTGAAGAAAAGAGCATTTTTTTTGGCTTAGAGCTGGTTTCTTAATAGTTCCTTTATGACCTCTTCCTTCTTTCCCAATTGGCTTATGAAATCTATCATATACCTGAACCAATAGCGAATCAAGAGATCTGACTTGTTTGAATGATACTTAGTGGTCTTTGGCGTAGGAAGTGAATTTAGTTAGTTGATGGGTCTGGTGTCTGAGATCTAGCTTGGTTTTTGTGGAGATGTACTTTGTTGTGCGGAGGGTTCATGAGCATTCGATTCCATTCATTGGTTGTTCTTCGATTCCTTTTAGATTATCCTTGATTGTATTTGTTATTTTGGTTTTGGCTTTGTTTGTATTGATACTCCTTGTGCCTTGTTGCTTCTATTTATACTTTGTTGGACTATTTTCCCTAGTTATTAGTATTATTTATTTTCTCTTTTAAAAAAGAATCTCCATATAAGAGAAGATATAATGAAAGTCATATTGTCAAAAGAATGTAGCAAAATCATCATGAAACATCTAATTTTAGGAACTAGAATTAAAGCATGAAATTTGTTGAATTGTTTAAAGATTTATGAATCTTTGTATTGAATATGTGTTTTCTCCACATCATATAAATTGAACATAAACATCATTTGGAAGATTGTAATACTCCTTTATTACATTTCATCTAGTTATTATAAGAGGATGTTCATGATCGTTATTATAAAGAATGATACTTTGAATGTCTTCATTATTTAGTATTTACAAAAAAATTCAATTGATTATAATACTAATTAACAAAGAGTGAATATATGGTATTCCTCTAAAGAAAGACAAGAGAGGAAAGTGTTACAGTTTTGAAAGGTTCATGAACGTTGAAGATGAAAGGATGTTGACGGTGAAATTAGATAACATCATCATCGGCAAGCAGAATATTTACGCAAATGTTCCAAAACTCTAAAGAATCCAAGGGGAAACTAAGAGGGGTGGAGGGAGAAACAACAATAGTGGATGGACAGAGAGGAAGGAAAGAGATAAAGGGAAATAAAATAAGGATTTCTAGATGAATAACGTAAACCGCCAAGAACAAAGTAAGGGTTTGTATGATAGGAATGAAAGGATGTCATATGCACATGTGGTGGAAAATAGAGATAATGGGTGGAAAAAGATAGAATGGACATAGAAACAATATCGCTACAAGATCAAATACTGGTAAAAAAGAAGCTAAACCGATGTTTGTGCATTTGGCATACAATATCAATGAAGATGATCCAGTTAGATTCCAAAAGACATGTGTGGGCTCTGTAGATGGATGACATGCTTAGGTATAACTGTATAAGTGTATGTGGGGTGTGATCTATATGGCTTAAGACCTGTCATTTCCTCCAACATGGGAGATGTATTTATACAGACATCTAGGGCCTTAGATTCTCTTAGAAAGGGTCACCTTCTACTCAGTGAATGGTGGACTGTTGAATCCCTATTTCCTGAGAAGTCGTGGGAAAGTTATTGACCTTGACTTCTCTCAGCCATATAAACGTCTTTTCCCCATGTTTCTCATGACTGGGCGACATGAAGGCCTTGGGGGAGAGGTGATACCTCCCCTCAGGCGACGTGTTATCATTGCCTCTCCTAAGGCGTCCTCTAGCCATTGTCATATGAGAGTCTCATACAAATATAACACTACATAATTCAAATACTTATAGACCAATCTCGAGGTATTTTAGGATTATTAAAAAAGAGCTATATTGATACAGTTATGGATAAATTCTCCATTAAAGATAACAAACCAAAAGAGAGACTCATTGCTAGAGACGAAAATTTTAGTCTCAAATAGTGTTCCCATTATAGATCTAGAATAAAAGAAGAGATATGCAAAAGATTCCATATGCTTCAACTGTGGGGAGTATTATGTATGCTCAAGTTTGCACTCGATCTGACTTAGCATTCATTGTAGGAGTTATTGACAAATATCTAAGTAACCCTAGTATGCAACACTGCATAGCATTAAAGTGAGTACTGTGTTATTTGAAGAGAACTAAAGACTCCGTGCTCACTTATCAGAAGTAAGACAATTTAGAGATCATTGAGTATTTTGACTCCGATTTTGCTGGATGCTCGAATAGTAGGCGTTCTACATCTGGTTACATCTTGTTCTTGGCTAGAGGATTTGTCTGGTTGAAGTCTTCCAAATAGACTTTAGCGGTTCCCTCCATCATGGCAGAAGAGTCTGTGGCTTGCTTTGAGGAATCAAATCATGCAATTTGGCCATAAAACCTTATCACAGACTTACACATCCTTTGGAGCATCAAAAGGTCCTTAAATATTATAATTAATATTCCAATAATTATTATGTGGGAATATATATTTTAATTATATTAGTTATTTTATCAAATTAAGTGTCTTAAACAGTTAAGCGATCAAATAAAGTTAAAAGGCTAATTATGTTTAATTAGAAATTAATTAAACAATTAATTAATTGAGTATGAGCTCAAATATGAGTGGATGTCAGGATGATCTATTTTAGAATAATGAGAACCATAATTGATATCACTCTACAAATAGATTATGATCCCCAATATACCGTACACAAGCAATTTATCTCTTTTTCCCATCTAAAGAGTATTCAAGACATTAAAAATATTCAACGACAACTGTGTCTCCATCGTAGATTGAGACTGTTGTACACTTTAGAATCAAAACTTCAAGAATTTTCCCCTTTCGCTATGATGGACAACGTCCAAAACTCATTCTTTCCTTTGATTCAATAAATTATCTTACCAATTTAAGATATAGAAATAATGACTATGAATGTTTAATCACTAATTCGATTTAGGGTTCATATAATAGAAAAAGAGAAGAAACTTAAACAAAACAAAAAAGATGACAACAAGATGCCAAATAAAATGTCACACGTGAAAAATAAATATTTATAATATAAATATGACGAAAATAACTCATATAACACAATGATACCGTTAAAGAATTATAAATGAATGAATTATTTAAAACTTTAATACTTAAAAATAAACATCTCCATTAAAATACTTTATTGGTTATAGTAATTAAGAGAAAAATGAAAGTCTTTTACAAAATAAATGGATCACCTCTTGCGTTGTGTCTGCAGCCACCTCTCGTGTGCAATACTGGACCGTTGAATTTAAATCTAATGGTTAAAATTATATTTATCTTTTTCTCTCCCCTATCTTTAGATCTAATCTAAAGGTTTAGATTGTGGCATAATAGCAGAAGAAGACACATAATAGGAGAGGATCCAAATGCATGTCATTTAGATTTAGACTTTAGACATATACTCTGTCTCAACAAAAATGAGTTCAACTTTTTTCTTTTTCTTTTTTCTTTTGTATTGAACAATTTCTTCTAGGTTAAATTGAAAATTTAGAAAATAAAAAAGACTTTTGTTACAAAGAAAACTAAAGTATTTTAGCCAAAGAAAATGTTAAAGTAAAGCTAACACATTAAATAAAATAAAATAAAAAAGTTTGTGAAAGAAATTTTAGGAAAAAAAAAAGAGTTTCATAGTTTGGTTGCAGTGCATGGGAAGCAGAGTTTGATCTGTCTGGTGAAGAAAAGAATGAGTGAAGGTGGTGGTGGTGGCAATGGTTCTTCTCCGAAGCTTTATGCACACAAGCCCCGAAAAGGTTACCGTTCTGTCTCTTTCTCTTGAAGGAAAATCTCTTGTCTTGTTTCGATTCATAATTTGTGTATTTGTTAACAGCGCAACTGAAGCAATTTCGTGGGCAACAGACACCAAAGGAGTTCTCTTCGCCACCGGTGATGGGGACTCAAACGGCTACTCCCCCGCCGCCCAAGGAATCGTTTATTCGGCGCTATAGGTTCCTTTGGCCTATGCTATTGGCTGTCAATCTCGGGATCGGAGGTAATTTTTCTAAAACCCTAAAAGCTATAAATTCTATTTTTTTGGGTCCTTTTTCTAAGGTTTAGTTGTTGTTTCTGTTGTTATTCTGTTTATATTCATCTTCTACTGATATACTCATGTTTCTGCAATTTGAATTCAACTTTAATGTAGAGTCCTTTATCTCCTTTGATGTTATTCGTCTTCTGGTTTGTACCAGAGGGTACCTTATGTCTTTGTTGTTGAGATTCCTGTTTGATTCTTATTTTCTTAGTAATGATGGTTGATGTTGTTAATAGCATCATTTCTTAGATCTGTTGGTTAGTTTTCTATTATTGCAACTTCGAAGGTTCTATGATTTTGACAATCATTGTTAATAATATATAGTTTTCTTTGCATTGATTCACTCAAACATGTTTTGACTAACAAAAATAATAAAGTTCATGCCTATCTAATGTTTGAAACAATATATTAGATTACAACTTGCTGTAATTCTTACAATTTCATTATTTATCAATACATCAATTTCCCTCTCTTCTTTAACTCTTTTGGTTTTTCTGTTCATTCATCTACTACATGTGTGTGAGTTAAACCCATCCTGAACTTGTTGCTAGATACGTGACTGACTAATGTCTGAACTCTATAGTTTATTTGTTTGCAAGAACAAGCACAAAGAAGAAAGATGCTGTGGAGGAGGAAAAAGATGGAGCAAATCAAATTCCAGCTAATGGTACAGCAAGTCTCATTTCAGCTAATGGTACAGCAACCCCCATTTCAGTTAAAGACGCTCTAGCTCTTCTTGCCGAACAATCTGTCTCCACACCATCTTATACAAATCCCGCAATCAAACGAGAACCAATTCCAGAAGGCCAACAACGGGAACTCTTCAAGTGGATATTGGAAGAGAAGAGGAAGATCAAACCGAAAGATGAAGAGGAGAAAAAGAGAATTGAAGAAGAGAAAGCTCTACTTAAAAACCTTATCCGGTCAAAATCTATCCCAAGTATCTAATAATGATCTTTGTCCAAAGCAAAAAAAGAAAACAAGAATGTTTTTGAATTTGGATATACTTGAGTTGATTCCTTCAATGGTTCTCTTTTCTGGTTGCATTGTTGGTTGATGAATTTTAGATTGTACATTTGTTTAGATTGTCATTTGAAAATTTGGGCGTGGCTCATTGTTTGTTATACAATAAATCAATGGCACTTGATGTATATTAGGTTTGTTATATTATAAGATGTCATGTGCATTTTCAATAACCTTGTTTGTTTATGAATATAAAACTAGATTTGAGTTGCATTTTAGAGGCATAATCACATGTCAAGTGAAGAGTTTGTTCAAAACAGTCATATAAAATTGGTAGGAAGTTTGTCTTGAATTGGGGCAACTTTGTTATAGTATTTTTATGGTCAAGTCATTGTATCAGTTCTTGGTCAACCATTGGAACCCTCTCAATCTCATTATCAACTTGTCTCTCCTTAATATCATTTCCAACTTCCCAAACCAAACATATTCTCCATAAGGTGCTGAATAGCATGTTCAACATGTTGGAGGCTTGAGGGAGAGTCACATGGGCTTGATGTAAGCAGGCACAATTCTCCCAAGAAAATTTATCATTTCTATATTCTCAAAAGCCTCCAAAATCATTTTATTTGCCAAATTTATCATCTTCCCGATTTCATGATTTCATAGATCCAGCATAAATAATCAGAATTATACCATCTAAATTCTAAACCCATTGATTTTGCGTGCATGGTCATATATTTGAAATTCGTCATCAGCTAATTTTCAATGCATTTAGATTAGGGGTATTCATTGGTTTGGGCAAATTCAAATCAAACCAGAATTCAAATTAAACTAAAGTGTTTGGGTCGTAAAAATTGAATCAAATCAATGAAACTCGATGTTAATTGCTTCGGGCATCATATTTCAAAAAATCTACTCGCGAGTCCGTCTATCCGAATCATCCATATTAATTCATATAATTTATATCATCATTATTATGGAAACTAGTATAAAATATTCAACCTAAAAAAAATGAAAATTAGTTGACGTAAATTATATATTTTTTTAAAATATTATCGCACATTAGTTTCTAATGTATCCGATCAATCCAACCCAAACTAACATGTTATTTTTTGATTTGGATCGGTTTGGGTTTTATCTAAAAAAATATGAAAATTCAATCAAAACCAATCCATATGTTTTTATTTTAGAGAGTTTCTTATGAAATCCTAGATAGAGGGAGAAAAAATCTATGAAAAGCTAAAAATACTCCCGGAAGTGTATTTTCGAGGCGCACCCTTAAATTTCATAATGTAAAATTGTAACAGAAATGTATTTTCGATTTTAATATAAGGTGAATCTCAAAAAACAAATGAATTATATATGTATAGGATGCGTACCAGAAATACATTTCCAGTTTTCGAAGATATTTTTGGAAACTCACGCAGATGGTTAAGAAACACGTAACGTGCATTAAAAAATTCTCTATTTTTAATCAATTTGAATATCAAATTCTCTCAAAACTCGAACTAAACCGTTACACAAACACCCATAATTTAAATTGGTCCGAACCCACGTAATTGAACCGATGATAGAAAAACAAGAGATAATCATACTAATTAAAATCTTAGAATTTTCTATAATAAATAAAAATTAATTAAATAAAAAAATTAGATATTACTATTAGTTAATAAATAATAATAGGTTAATAAATGAATGAAAAAAAATTCATTCACATTCATTAACTTTTCTCTCCAACATACCTCTCTCCTATTTATTTCTATTTAACTATAAATTACTTTAATTAAATAAAATAAAATAAAAATTTTCTAAAAAATATTCAATAAGGTGAGAAAAAATAGACTTTATTTTTATTTAATTATACATCAGAAGACATCTTTAATTTCTCTCACCAACTTTTCTCTCCATTTAGTCTCTGTTTGATTATTTAAAAACAGGATATAACAGTTTTTTTTATTCCATCTACATTAAAACCACAAAAGTAATAAAATACATTTCATTAAATTCCGTTCAATTTCATCTATTTTTAATTAATTCAAATAATAAAATATAAGTTTATATCTTTCATTCCGTTCCCCTCATCATCTTCTATCAATTCAAAAATAGCTTTAGTTACATCTTTAATTTCTCCAACTTCTTTCTACACTTTTTCTTTCTTCATGTTTTAGCATGTCATAGATGAAGAAATTTTATATGGTGTAGAGATAGTATTCATTTAGGAGATTTAATTTATTATATTATTTAACTATTTTTATTTGTATTTTTATATTAAATTAATTTGTTTTAAGTCTTTTCTAATACAACTATAACATATGCCATATTTTACAGCAAACCTCCTCTGCTATCCGTTATAATTGGACAAGAAATGTTTCAAAGTCTTCAATTGTTGTTGAAGAATCTTAGAGTACAAGGAGCCACAAACTAGCTAAACAACATCTACAACATGGTGCACTAAGAGAACTCATAATTTCTAGATGAAAGTATACTAAAGATCGAAGAGAACCTTTAACCCACTCCACCAAAGGACAATAACGTATGTGATGTAGCCTCTTGGGCGATCAAGTAATCATACTAGAGTCGGTCCCCGTCACCACAACTACACCATTGAAACAAGTCCCGAGGTCACCATCTCGCAATCGGTACCAAGGACATATAACTCACACAAGAAAGTAGTGAAGAAAAAAATGATAGTCATACAACTCACGAGGTTTTACATCCTCTTTATTAACCGACACGTCATCTTCAAAGGAAAATATATGACAATGATAAACTAACTCTAAAGCGAAAGAAGAATCTTTTGTCTATCTATACTCTCGAAAACAAAATTTTAAAATATTTAAAGAAGCCTCCAAAATTATAGAATTATGATTAAACTGAAAATATATACGAACATATTAAGCATGTAGATAATATTCTAGATTATTACCATGTAACACCGTATTTCTATCCAACGAATTAAATAAAATTAGAGTTACAAAATTTTCAACAAATAAATGGAATGCTACACTTTCAACTTGGAAACAACGACATTCAATCACCTATAGTTCATATACATAACACATAAAATTCAAATAAACTGATAACAACTTGTTTAATCTTTAAAAATAAAACAACTTTCGTTACTATGCAGCGGATTCACAAATTCAACTAAAAACACCAAAACATCTTGTCAAACACAAAACGGCTTTAAGACAACAAGTCTTTAACAAAAACAACTTAAAAATTCAGCAACATAATGAAAACCAACAATAAAGGAAACATGCGTTCATCCCCCCGAGTGCTACGTATCAGAGCGACAACACCGACTCGAACTAACGAAGTTAACAACTATCCTTCTTGATTACTTGCACGTTACCAACAAAGGGCAACATTCAAACAGAAGGGGTGAGATATCGAACCATATAATTGAGTGTATGATAAATAATTTATTAGATCAAATTATATAAAATCACCACTTCACAATTTTGAACCAACATCAATCATCACAAGTCAACAACAGAACATGTTAAATATACAACACGAAATGCGACTCGTTACAATGCACATGCATATGGTACCAATGAAGCAAAACTCCTAACTTAAAAATATGTCAATTAATAGAGGCATCAACAAGACATAAACCTTCAACTTAATTTACCAATTCAGGCCAACTTACTGAGCATCAACTCCAACTTGATATGCTATGTATGCGACCCAATATGAATGTCAGAATAGCAACAACAAAATTCCATAGCAACGCAACAACAAACCAACATTGGCCATAAGCCCACAACTTAATATTTTGTCCATAAATAGAGACAATAATATCACCTGCTAATTCACACTTTTCAACAAAAAACACAATACAACGAGTGAACCAAAATTTACTACAAATAAACTATGTAATTATTCGGACTATTACGACTATTTCCGATTAATTAATTATCTAAATGCTTATTTCTAATTACAAAACTTCTACAATATTATTCTACTAATAATACTAAATAATTACTATTATTATTAATGATTATAATTATATATATATATATATATATATATATATATATATATATATATATATATATATATATATATATATATATATATATATATATATATATATATATATATATATATATATATATATATATTAGCAATTTGGAAACGTTAACAGTGTGTATATATGTCAAATTTAACTACAATATCTATTATATATAATTTGAAAACGTGAATTCTCATACTACTCCATGATGCTCCGCACAGTAGCTATCAATTGCTAATACCATTTTACCTATGATACTACAATACTACCACTTGAAAGTTGAAACACTTGGAATTGATGATGCAGTAATACTGGTATCGCAAGTCGACTCAATTTTTGATGGTTAAACAATAAACAAATACCACTCCTATTCTAAGAGGTATTTTGTATTATAATTTAATTCGCAATTTCAACAAATATATAACACACCGACATCTTACACTGACAATTCTAAACATATCAGAGTTACGCAAAACCAATAAAAATATAATTCTTAATAACCCAAAACAACTCTGACAACTCTATTGACAGCTCTATTGGCAACTCTAACAAGTTTATTGACAACTCTAAGACCACCTCCAACGGTGGTTTTTCAGATTGATTTGCCAGCTTGGCATTGAAATTGTCAACAAAAAAGTTGTTCCAGCTGGTGAACGGTACAAATATAAGCAACGGTTCTTCATATTTTTTTATTATTAAAATAATCAATTAAAATTGTGGGACCCAATATAAAATTTAGTATGAATAAAATATTAATATACAAAATAAAATTGTGGGACCCAATAAGTTCTTTAAAATTGCACCATTGGAGTGAAAAATGGAGTGAGTTGCTTCAGGCTTAATGGGTCCCACAAAGAATCCAAATATGAGTAGCACCATTAGAGATGCTCTAACAAAATTGAATATAACTTAAATTATCCAATTAATTCAAATATTTAATTTTTAAATATTATATTAATAATAT